ATGTACCTTGCAGCTTATTGTGTATGTCAGTTATGATTAGAATATCATTTTTTCCCTACAGGCCATTGACGTATGGATGGTTACCTGCCAGGTATTAGTATTCTTAGTCTTATTAGAATATTCAGTGGTGTATTATTTATATTCACTTGAAAAGGGACAGTACGCAGAAAGAAGAAAAAAACGAGAGCACAAGAAATCAATGAGAGAAAATTCGATGAAAGACGAGGTTTGTATTTTAATTTAGTTCCATGTTCTACTTATGTAAGATGACGTTAAGTTTTACAAATCTTACAAATCACCTTCTTTAATGGCGTATACATTATCAAACTTCTGTCTTACAATCGAATTATTTATCTCATCAGAAATCAAATCGAAAGACATCTACGTGCGTGAGTAATGAAGACGGAAACATGAACAACGTGAACGCCGATACACGGCTTGTCCGCTACAAGGCAGAATTACGACAACGTCTTAAAGAGCGCCCCCTGCTGATGAGACAAGAAACGCGAGTGTTAACAACGGCTGAGTTGATGTACGAATCGAACGAAATGACAGACTACCTATGCGTAGCGATAATGATTGACAAAATCAGTCGAATCCTACTGCCTTCAATTTTTTGCATAGTGTGTATAGTTTACTGGTCTTATTTCCCCATTCAGAAACATGGGCATTCAGTGATTAAACAGCAGATCAATTATACGTTTTTTTAAAAAGAAAGGTTTACTGGTGAAACTTGCAACTTAAAAAAATAATGCGTATCTTATTTGGGTTCTATTCTATGATGTTTATCGGCGACTTAGTTTTACTTATTACATACTATCACTTTTACATTCTACAACGTTCTTGTGTCAATTTTATTTACAATGAATTGACTACGTCGTGCTTCTAAAACTCTACATCTTGACCAATCTTTTACATGCAAATCAAGAAATTGTTTTCATACAACCTTGCTCATATACGTGTTATGCGGCTATTTAACAGTGGTAAACGTAGATTAAAATTGAGATGTCGGGCATGTATTATCCATTAATTTTAACTCGTGATCAGAAGTGCACATATATCTCTGTTGATTTTTTTCTCTGCAATCACAATAGATTCAAGTTAACTGTATGTTAATTGCTGTATGTAAAATGTGCATGTACATATTAAGTTCGAACCCATTGTGTATGCTAACAGAACTTATTTTCACAAAACTTTTACTTTAACTGGCTCCGGAATGGTGTTCTCATAGATACGTTTGTGACTTATTCATAATAAATGTTTGAAATACTGTATACGATGAGTGGTCTTTGAAATTATGATTCCATTCGAATCACTGGCATAATTCAGTCACCCTGAACAGTTTCCATTGATTGTAGGTTTATGATATTATCACGATAATATTTATATAAAAGATAGAGTACATGTTTGACACCGAATACAAATGATGTACGTTTATTTTACTGAACACATCGCCGAAAATTGACCTTATTGGCCTTTGGATTCTTACATTACATTGATTGAGCACTGTTATGGTCTTGAAATATAACGTGAATAGGCGCATTGAGTTACGTACACGGTATAAGTGAGTGCACGTGCTGTGATGTATCTGGTCTTGAGCGCTGTAGGTTTCATTTCCACATCTCCGTTTACTGTGCAGAAAATCACTTAAGTTAACATAGGCAGTGAAAAAATGTTTACCGGGAATTCTCTGCAGCTCTTGTAACTTAGGATCTGTATAACGCAGTGATTCAAGCTCCCTCAACGTGTTATAAAAAAAAAATAGGCAAGCTGATCAAGGTATGGTGATCTACTGAGTACTAAAGGAGCTACATGAGAATTTCGTTACCTAAAACATAGTTTAGTGATTCAATGTGTCACTCAATATTTACTAAGCAGGAGTTCCAATTTGACTTAATATTTCGAGTAGGTAATAATAGCAATATATATAAATTGTGTCAGATTTGGTATAATGTAGCCTTCTGTAAAGTGCAATATTCTCAACTGTGCATTTATTATGACATGTTGAGATGGCTGATATCATTGTAGGCTTATAGAATGCTTCATAATATTTCGCAGTTAGCCAGCGCCAGTTTACTTTACTATTTTTGGCTATGGATCTTAGAATTCTTGCACATTTTAATAGTCGTTATTATCATACTAATTATTGTGTCAAGTTTACGTTTTGAGTAGGATTTGAAGATCAAATATGCTTCAAATTCATGATTTTTGATACAAAGTGCATCAATGAATGTGAGTTAAACGAATTAGCATATTTGCACTATTTGTTTTAATTAATCGATAGCTTTATAAATAAATACATCGGTCTTCACAATTTGTTCCCTTGGCCCTTCCCTTGATAGTAATATATGACAAACTTATGCCCTACAAATATATTAATAAATAAATCAATGATTTGAAGTTCATATATTTTATATTGACATTAAAACGACGCTTTCGACATTGTGAAATTCTTCCGCTTTTT